GATTTGTGAATCTAACATGCATTCTTTGGAATGCTGGGTTCACAAAATGATCTTAACGTATTGGATCATTCCTCGATTCAACAGTATCGTCACTGCCCAATTGCTTCTGGTTAATTTTGTGGTGAATGAGCATCAACATAGAATGGGGTATTACTTGTTTAATGGTTTATACCCTAAGTGAGAAACTTTGATGCAGACCATCCTACACCCAACTACTGGAATATTAAAAAAAATAAAAATAAAAAATTACTCAAAGACAAGAGGAGGCCTTTAGGAAAGATGTGGAACGAGCTTTTGGGATCTTACAGATCAAGTGGGCAATAACGCAGGGACAATGCATTTTTGGGAAAAAGATGACTTGTGCCTCGTAATAAAAACATGCATCATCCTTATGGTCATTGAAGATGAATGCCACACAAATATTGGAAGTTGGACTCTGCCATCAGATGAGATAATCCCGAATCCCACTTTATGTCAAAAACCCATTGGTTTTAGTCACACACATCTACTCTTGCTAAGGTCTAGATTTGTAATAGCTAGAGTGACAAATACGAAGTTAAGGAAAGATTTGATAGAAAATTTGTGTAACCGCTTTGGCAAAGAACCCATTTAATTTATGTTGCATATATATATATATATATATATATATATATATATATATTTTGCTTTTAAGATGTTATGAAATTTTATATAATAAAATCCTTATTAATAAAAATAAAAAGACAAAAAAAAAAAGGTGGTTGGGGTTGATGTATTTATAGAGGTAAAAAAATATTATTTTTAAGGAAAAAAATTCAAAATTAACTTTTTGGGCCAAGAGAGCTGTTAGGGCACAAATAACGCGTTAACGACTCAAATTTCAGTGTAGTGCATAAATTTTTTTTTAAAAAAAAAGTCAATTATTTTTTGCCCAAAAAAGTCGTTTTGGCACTTTTTGTGCCTCCCAGTTTGGGATGTGTCTCCCAAATAGTGCCTTTAACAGTTCTTAATTATCAAATCCAACAATCCATTCCATGAGCCACCAAAATGGGCCTACCATTCCGCAATCCAATTAGAGTGGATTGGATCACAGAAAAAGAAGCTTGGGCTTAAGGAAATTGGTTCTGCGAGCCCAATGCAACTGCTCTTAGGTTGTCAGGTCAATTCGTTAGAGCCAAAAAGACCAATATTCATCAAAGTATGAGGACTATAATACTATTTTTTTTCTGCCCCACTCACATACTTTTCTTGGTCCGCCCCTATATATATATACACACACGTAAAAAAACACGTGGTGTATTCTTTTCTTCTGTATATAGGGTAACAATTTTACCTGTATTTGTTTGCTCAATATTGGTTTGGGCCAAGCCTCAGATATTGCGGAGGTTCGGTGTACTAAGTGGTTTGAGATTAAGGAGGTTGTGTGGATCACAGCACTTATAGGTTGATCACTACCTTCCTTGTCCAAATTCCCTTATGTAATATGGTATATTTTTTGCGCGTGTACTTGTTGACTTTATGGGGGTAAGTAGTGGTAGTCACAGAAAAATCACAAATTAGAACTAGGTAGCGTTGCAATTTTATATAATTTGTTAAATGGATGTTGTATCTTTTATATAAAGGTGTTGCTTAACATTTTGTGTGAATTATAAAAAATATTAGGGTTAAATGCAAAAAAAATTCTTAAACTATTGGCATATTGCAACAAACTTCCCTGAACTATTAATTTATTGCATTTCAGTCTATTTTGGCAACTAACTTGGTCGAAAAAATAAAAAGACAAATTTACCCTCAATTAAAATTACGTAGTTTTGAGAGTTACCAACTGTACTTGGTGACGTGGCAATTAGGAATTTAGAAACCAATAAAAATGAGACACAAAGTTAGCCAAAAATAAATAAATAACAAAAATGATAATTTTTTAATTGGTTGTAATTGGTTGTAAAACCCATTGCGTTACAAGTATACAGCTCTGCAGCGACATTCTCTTTGCCCACCATGTTCGATGGCCAAATCCACCTGATTGCGGTGTAAAGATTGAAGAAAAAGTTTTTCTTTCCAGTTATGGACTAAAGCCTCGAAGTTACATCGACATCGTTGGACAGAGACGAAGAATCAGAACTAATGTCACCGTCCGGAGTCAGTTTTTTTGTGATCACAAAATTGAGATCTCAATGTGGAAGAAGGATTATCAGCCATGGAAATATGATGTTGCCTAAAGTTAATCGAATTTAAGGAATCAAGAATTTGCCGCACATGGGAGAAGGTCGCCGAACATGGTTTAGGGTCTGATCAAATAAGGGTAACGGAAAACAGATCTCCCAATAACTACCATTTTGTTCTTCTTTAACGAGGAAACGTTGGCCATCATTTACAATTGTTTCTTCTTCGGTGAACACTTCCTCTTAAAATTCTTGGATTGATATGAAATTTACACAAACACACGACCTATATATATACAGACAGACAGAGGGGCGGAGAGAGGTTATTTTTAGCAATTTTTATTTTATTTTATTTTGGGCCCTTATTTTTCTGCAGAGAGGGAGAGCTGATTATCATGGCGGCCTCAATTGAGTTTGTGCAGTGCTTCGGGCGCAAGAAGATTGCCGTGGCCGTGACCTACTGCAAGTGCAGGGGTGAATCAAGATCAATGGCTACCCCATCGAACTGGTACAGCCGGAGATCCTCCGCTACAAGGCGTACGAGCCTATCCTCCTCCTGGGTCGCCACCGCTTTGCCGGCGTCGACATGAGGATCAGAGTCAAAGGCGGTAGTCACACCTCCCAGATCTACGCCATCTATCAGTCCATTGCAAAAGCCCTCATCGCCTACTACCAGAAGTACGTTAACGAGCAGTCCAATAATTAGATCAAAGATATCCTCATCCGCTACGATCGCACCCTCCTGGTGGCCGACCCCAGACGCTGCGAGCCCAAGAAGTTCGGTGGGCATGGTGCTCGTGTCAGGTTCTAGAAGTCGTACCGTTGAGGGGTGTTTGGTTGTCTCATTATAACCTATTTGTTACTTGTTTGGTTGTAACCTTAACAATTAAGGGTATTTTTGTCCGTTCATGTGTATAAGGGCACTATGGTCATTTATTTTCAACTTATGCATTGTTACGGTCAAAATCTGCCAGAGACTTGCTGGATGGGGTCATTTGCAATAAAATTACATAGTTCAGAAGGTTAATTGTTGATATGCTAATAGTTTAGGGAGGTTTTTTTACTTTTAACCCAAATTTATTTTAACACTCTTTACCATATATATATATGGAAACACTAAAAAATAATAGGATATAATAATAATAATAATAATTAATATTACTGACTTTTTTTTTAAAAAAAAGAAAAATAATATTGTAACGTCTTAGATCAAAAAACTAATATAGAACTACTACAGGAACAATTCAAATTTTTTGGGTATTCAACAACCAAAATAATTTGACAATATATGTTTGAAAATATTAGGCTTATCAGATTGGGAGTGAGTTGACTCACCCATTTAACACCCAACTCGTTTATAACCCATCATAAATGAGTTGATAGCGAGTTATTGACCCACTCATCCATTCATAACCAGCACAAAATTATCCCAAACCCACCCAATTACCGCCCATACATTTTTTCATTTGCAACTGCAATATACATGGCACAGGCGGATGGAAGGAGGGCTTGAGCCACAAAAAAAATAAAAAAATAAAAAATAAATAAATTTGCAGTAGTATTAGTAGCCCAAAATATTAACCCATCCATCTAAGTCACAATTGTAAAACAAAGGCCCAACCAAACACGCCCAAGCCAAATAAGCCTAAATATTTTGTAATCTTTGATTTCAAATATTTTTTTAGATTATGTTTTATATATATATATATTTACTTATGAAATTATGTGATTAAATTTATATTTAATATTAGCCCCATTTACAATTTCTGTGTTCGCCCTTATACATGGTGTACTAGGAGCTTATTATGATCTTATGGAAGTGTTGTGTGATTTTGTATATCAAAGTGGATAGCTTTATTTAATGATTATGTGTCTTTTAAGTTGTGACACAAGACTTTTATAGTTATCCCTAAGTCATTGACATACCCATGTCAGATTCGGATGAAAAAGTAAATGAATATATATGAATCAGAGTATTAATCTCATATAATAGTTTAAATTTTTGCGTCAAATTGTAAAGTACCTTAATTATTATAATTGGTATCAGATTTATACCTGGACCTTGATGTAGTGTCACCAAGTGCCCCGTCAATGGATATATATAAGTTGAGAGTGTTATTTCCACCCAATAACTCAAACTTTTAAATCATCTCTAGAATTTTTGGATCTTCTAAATTGGAGAAGAAGATTTTTCCACCCTCTAATTTCCAGAAGAAAAGTGAGTAATTTGAGCCCTACAATTATACATAGGTTAGATGGTAAAAATATTATAAAAAATGTGTTGCACTAAAAATAAAAATAAAAACTTCTATTTATTTGACGTTGTGCCCCATGATTTAGAATGTTCTATTCTTATCGATTTTTCAAATTGATATACTTAGCAGTGAGAGATTTTAATTCCTTTAATAAAAGCAATAGAATTAAGTTTGGGTTCCATCTATTACAGGATAAAAACTCTTTAAACTATACTCTATTAAAAGAAAAAGTAAGTTGGCTTAACACACACGCAACAAACAGAGTAGGCCCTTCATATACATTTTAATTCCACACAATAATTTTATGAAAAATTAAAGATTTTAGCAATACTCCAAAGATTTTGGCGCTCTCTCTCTCTCTCTCTAAAAAGTGATTATCACCCAAAATGTGCACCCAGCAAAGTGTCCCCCGTTACTATTCCCACTAAATTAGACAAGAATACTTTAAACACATACCGACCGGGACGTCTAAATAACGAATATAATGACCAAATCACCCCTTGAATTACCAAGGAGAGACGGCAAGTTTTAGCTCGTAACAGGGACAGTATAGTCAAAATAATTTTCATTATTAGGTATATAATCATATATTATTAAAACCCACCGTCAATCTCCTCGAACTTCCTGTTATTTTATTAGGGTTTCCTGTTTTAGCTCTCTCGAAGTATCTGGACAAAATTACAGCTTAGGCGATCTTGAAGGACGAGAGTGGTAGAGAGAGAAAGTTAGAGAGAGACAGACAGGCTCGTGGCTGCTACCTAACTTTCGAAGATTTTTATTGTTTATTCGAACGTCGGTCTCCGAATTCAGGTATATAAGGGACTAGATTTGGATTCTAGGGCTTTCATAATTTGATCGGCGAGACTATGAGTTTGATTCTAAACACCGACGCCGACACCGACACCGACGTATTTTCCAGCTCACCTTTTCCGTTGAATACTATTCCAAATATCGATAAAGGTATGATTTGAACCCTTCCTATAGGTTTGATTTCGTTAATTATAGTTAGAACATTTTTATTTATGGATTAGTTATGAATGATCGCTTGAGGATTTGGATATTTGGGTTCAATATTTCTTACTACTGTGTTTTGGCTATATCCATAGACTAAATTTATGAATTACAACCACAATGCTCAGTTATATATGTATTTTTTGTTATCCAGTGTGTGAATTTTAATGGGCGACAGATGTATATTTAAGAATAAATGTGTTGATCAAATTTTTTTTTTTCCTTTTTTTTTTTTTCTTTGAATATGTTAAAGTGCCCGTTTGATAGAGTTCCATCGTTCTCCTTTTCAGTTTCTAAAATTTTGATAATGTTTCTGAATATGTTGATCATACTTTCATTTGACACTTGTTTCCAAATCAATCTTTGGGAAGCTTTCTTCGTTTTGTCAATTAGGATTATTTGGGTCTTGTCTTTTATTATGTATTTTTTGTCAATTAGGATTATTTGGGTCTTGTCTTTTATTATGTATTTGAAGGCTTGCTCGAACCAGGGTAGTTAAAACCCAGTGGACTAGGCTCCGGCCTTCGCAAGATTTGTGGAGGGTGAGATGTACACAACCTTGCCTCCTTACCTCCTCCGCAGAGGGTCTGCAGTTGCATATATTTCCTTTTTCTTACTTTAACCCCCCAAAAGAGAAATGAAATATATATAAAATTGTAGATGAAGTGTATAAAATGGTTATGGTTCAAAGATTCTGTTTCTAATGATACATCTGTGTTCTATATTGCTGTTTGCCAAAGTTAAAGAATCATTTTTAATATTGGTCCTCGTTTCATTTCTGCATTTCAGGTTTTTTTTCTTAAAATATTGTGGAGAAGAGGCGGGCTCTTGAGAAGTAACTTGTAAACTAATGTACTGAGATATGAGATTATCTTCTTCGCACTGTGCTAACGATCTTGTTCACTGTAATAAGCGGGTGCAAGCAAAAGTGCTTTGTTTGAGAGGGTAAGATGCCATCTAATTATTTCTCAAGACTGAGTGTCGCAATTCGACAGCGAATTTTGGTCGCTGGGCAAGAAGGTGGGCTCCAAGATTCTGTCAATGTTCTGATTGGTCAAAGGAAACTGTTCTTTGGCAACTCTAGGTTGTTCCATTCGATACCATTTTCAGCATATAGTGACCTGCATGTCCTTCTGCAACCTGGAACTGTTATTGCTGCACAATCGAATTTGCAGTTGGTTAATCGAAGAAAAAATATCTCGGTTGTTGGAGCACTTTCTCGCACATTTTCTATCCCCTCTGTTTCAGGGCCTTCATTTCAGGTCTGTGCGTACCACATTGACCGCCTGCTATCCGAATCCAAACCCAGTCACTTATCTTTGGGCAGTGAGTCTCTAAAAGCACCTATGGCTGTTTCTGGTTCTAAAGCTGTATTTGGTGACTGTTCTTTAAATAATTTAATTTCAAGGCGTGGCCACCTTGCAATGTCAACAAACAATTTCTCTACTTGCCATGGCAGTAGAAGTCTTGACAGTTGCAGAAAAGTCAGCATGAGCTTGAGAAATAAAGAAGGACCTAACAATTATTTGATTTATGGATATTATATATACAATGTTACAAAGAGGAGCAACTGTATTCCATTCCTGGGGTTTGAATTCATGGGTTTCCACAGCTTATCACCTGCATGTTCCTCTGCTGGGACTGCTCCTGATGTGTCCTTTGACAGCTCTGCACGTGATGAACAACTTGCAAGTTCTGCAGTTGATCCTGAAGAGTAAGTGTTTTTACGTGGTAACTGTTATCCTTTCATGTTTTGAGTTCGTGAACTTCTTATGTTGCAACTATTAAACTTCCATGTGTTGATGTTTTAAGTAAAATTATTATACTACATATGGTCTCATTATCATCTGTGAAGAAGAATTTCATTGGGTAGTTGGAGCGAAATATTTTCAGCGTGACTTGGGAGCTTCTTTGCAAACTCTGGAATTGGTTGAAGCTTTATTTTAAATACACACATGCCAACTAAATTTAGTTTTAATGTCATCAAGGACTATTGTCATTTCTTATTTGTTATAATCGGTGCCCATGCTGATATGACCCCTGGTTCTTGATATGATGTAATAATCACTGCACCCAAATACTGTACCTCATTATGTTTATCCATATTGGACCTTGTCCTAACATATTTTATCTGCAAACAATTATCTGGCCCCATAGTTAAAGTGCTACTAGCACATTCTCATTCTTTAATTTTTCAAATTAGTCAATCACATCTTTGGTTTGGTCTCCAAACTCGAGTATAGTTTACCGTACAATGGTACTATTTGTGGGAGTCAGCAAAAAAACTTGAACATTTGTATTAGTTCTGAATTCTGCCCTCATTTTTGCTCTTGTTTGGTTATGCTGCTTGTGTTTAATTTATTCACTAATTATTTAAAATTTATTACCATTTTGTAATCTGTTTTTAAAAGAATATTTATTTATTTATTTGTATTTAGTAATTTGACGAAGTGTTTAGTAATGATTCTAATAAGTCCGGTAAGGATAGCTATGTCAATCGAAGGTTTCCTATGTGCATGTGATGCAGTGGGGAGAAAAGATATTTGAGTCTCTAAATATAAGGAATTATGTCATTGTCATGGAAATGCTCTCTCTTATTTTGTTATGTTTCTTGGTGCTGACTATAGGAAGATTCCAGCACACAGAACCCTGAAGCTACTTTCAGGATCATGCTACTTGCCCCATCCTGACAAAGAAGAAACTGGTGGGGAGGATGCTCATTTTATTTGTTCTGATGAACAAGCAATAGGCGTGGCAGATGGCGTTGGCGGCTGGGCTGATCTTGGTGTTGATGCTGGGCAATATGCTCGAGAACTCATGTCTAATTCGGTAACCGCCATTCAAGAGGAGCCCAAGGGTTCAATTGACCCAGCAAGGGTTTTGGAAAAGGCTCATTCAAGCACAAAAGCTAGAGGTTCCTCCACTGCTTGCATTATAGCATTGACGGGTCAGGTATGCTACTTCCATTCCGGGCTATTATGCTTCTTTTATGTTAGTTCCTTTTAGCCTGTAATGTTGACTATGGGTCCTCAGTGGATGATAACTATTATCTAGTTTATGGGATCTTTTAACTATGGCTATGAAATGTGATGTTGCTGTCTGAAAAGGTAAAAACTTGTCGGGTCTCAGTTTTTATTTTGTTCTGGAAATAAGTTTCACATCCATTAACGTCCCAGGCCTTCCCCCTTTTTAATTTGAATGTAGCTCATATCTCAATTTTTTGAAATTTCAATTAACAATATCATTAGTTTCTTTTTCTGGTTTTCTGTGAAACCTGGTATTGCTACTGATTATAGTTATTACACTAAATCTATTGAAGAAACATTCATTCCAGCATACGTCTGAAGTGTAAACCTAAAGATTTCACTGTAATAGACGTATTCCTGAGCATTTTCATTACAAGAATTGAGTTGGATAAATTTGGGAATGAACACTTAATATAAATTATTTGGTCTGCTTTTTGAGGGTTCCTTCTCTAGCTTTACAGGCTGGATTAACCCCCTTTTTTTTTTCCTGGACTCCTGTTCAAGTTTAGTGTGCTTTGACAGTGTGAGAGCTATTTGATGATAGTAATGTGATAAAACTTTTGATGAACAAGAGCAATTGAATTTTCTATTTTGGTTTTTTGGCAGAAATTGATTTGTGATTCTGTTACTTTTGCAGGGTCTCCATGCCATTAATTTAGGAGATAGTGGGTTTATGGTGGTTAGAGATGGATGCACCATATTTCGAACCCCTGTACAGCAGCATGATTTCAATTTTACGTATCAATTGGAGAGTGGAAACGGTGGTGATTTGCCTAGCTCTGGTCAGGTAAGTTGATGCAGCTACTCTTATGCTCCCCTTTTGCTAAGTTGATGCATGCTACTCTTATGCTCCACTTTTAGCAAAAGTTTCTGCGATCTAGCACTTTACTTGTTTTGTGGCATTGAGCCAGATTCATACATTACCTAATTCTATATTATATATTTTGTCCTGGTGGTGGTGTGTTTAACTTATCCTTGAAGCATTCCAAATACGTGCACAAATTTTTCTTGAAAATGATCAACCTCACCTGTATTCTTATATATTTTCGCCTTAATTTAACCCTGAGCATTTGTGAGCAACCCCATGCTGAAGTATGGATTGATTATGCATTCGAAATAAGATTACATTCAATAATGTATAATTTGATTTCAGGAAAGTATCAACAGAAAAGAGGTCAGCAAAATAGAGCATAAAACAATTCCTGATATTCCAGCAATTATTCAATTTTACCTGGTTGATTGTGGAATTGAAAAAAGCTAAGTGATATGTGTCTGTTACAGGTTTTCACAATCCCTGTTGCTCCCGGAGATGTTATAATTGCTGGCACAGATGGACTTTTTGACAATTTGTACAACAACGAGGTTACGGCAGTTGTGGTTCATGCTATTAGAGCTGGTTTAGGGCCTCAGGTGACAGCACAAAAGATTGCAGCATTGGCACGCCAACGAGCACAGGATAAAAACCGGCAGACGCCTTTTTCCACTGCTGCGCAAGATGCTGGATTCCGTTATTATGGTGGCAAGCTTGACGACATCACTGTTGTTGTTTCCTACATTACCAGTGCCAACAATGTATAATGCCACTCTCCTCTCTCTCTTTTACACACACAAAACACCCTCTCTGAAGTCTCAACACTAACAAGTGCAAATATACATACATTATATTCTTTCCATATATATAATTTATGCGCTTCAGATTCTTTGCAAGTATTTATGATGGAGAAATTGATTTATATTTTGTTATGCAGGAAAACAACACCCTTTTGGCATGTGGCTCTGGTTAGACTCCTATACCTGGGCTTGTGAACTCAAAATCCCGTTGCAAATCATTCGTATTACTTGGGCATCTTGTCGGGCATTTGAAGCCTTCTGTGATGGAGTGTTACGCCGTACTCCAACCACCACGATTGGTGCTGTAAATACTTTTCTTTTTTTCTTCGTTTTTTTTTTTCAGAAAGGGAAATTTTTTTTGATGGGTAATGTGTGGTAGTTTCTTGTTGCAGTTAGTTGGGACTTCTGTTATTTTGATTTTCTGATATAAAATGGAGAGCGTACAGCATTTGTGATTTTCTTGTTTCTCTGTGTGTAAACCTTGTTCTTTTATAGAACATGAAAAGGTACATCTTATCAGACTTGTATCTGGTGGTAAGAAATTTTAATTGAAAATGTTGTGCAAATGAATTAAGTTGAAGTGAGGACTGCAAATGAATTAAGTTTTTCACGACGATTCGGACTTGAAGAGTTGGGACTATTCCTCCTTGACTCGATGGTAACTTGAGTCGGTCTAACTCCATAAGCAATTGCTTGAGCTTGAGCTTGAGCTTGTTGAATGCTAATTAGACTTATTAGGCAAATTTGTTAACACAAGTGAACATTGGGACAAGACTTATTTCCCGAGACTTGTCTGTATTTAAAATAATTGTTTATTCCTTGGACTTGCGTCTTGAACTCGCCCAACGTGTCTTTTGGGCAGGGCTTTATAATGAGTTTCTGGTTTACATGGTTAAGGACCGCATGTAATAATTTTGTAAGTTTTGAGCGGAGAAATTATGGTCTTGGGTCAATCGTTCAATCACAAGTTGACACATCAATAAATGTGTTAGCTTTGTTTTAAATTTTTACACTACTTCCGTATCACTTTGCAATTGGCGTCCTGACACATTTATTGGGGTCCTGACACAAACAAAGGTGTCGCTTTGCTTCTTTATTACTTTGTAATTGGGTGCGACACAAATAAACGTATCAATTTTGTTTAAACTTTTATTTCTGTATCACTTTATAATTAGGCCTCGAGATTACGTAATAATTTAGAATTTTTTTTTCAGAAATTTTAATAATTTAGAACTTGTTTAACACGGTCAGCGAGCTAAGCTTAGGTCAGGTTAAGCAATGTCAAGGACTTTGACCCATTGACAACAAATTCTACACAAACATTGGACGTAAAATAATTTTTTTAAATAATTTTTTTTTTATTTTTTGGTATTTAATTGTCATAAAATATTTGTTAAATACAGACAAAATAAAAATAAAAAAATATTTTACTTAAAAAAAATATATATATTTTTTTAAAATAATATTTTACGTCGGAATAAACGGATCCTTAAAAAAGAAAAAATGAGAGAAGTTTGAAATAACTTTAAGTTTTTTTCTATAAAATGGATAATACTAATCAAACCTAAAACAAAACAAAAAATTCAAATAATAATAATAATAATAATAATAATAAACGTCCTATACCAGTTTAAAATAAAAAATTTCTTATATTTCAAATATCAATTTAACCCTATTTAAAATGTCAATCGACTATAAATTTGAAGGCTCAGGCACATGCAACTCTTAAAACAATGAAGATAAGATAATATATCAAATTGCTTTGACTTTTTTGTTTTATGTTTTTATTTTTTTAGGTAACACAATATCCAGGGGTTGTGGATTTCAGTCCGTCTGATCGCCAATGAAGCCTTCAATCACGTCCTAATCATGGTTCAAGCAGTTAATAAGCTGTTCCGCGAAACACTAAATCGATGCTCAATCTGTTTTTTGTCTGCTAAAATATACGCACACTCAGCCGCGTGACAAAGTCTACTCTCTCTCTCTCTCTCTCTCTCTCGTGGTGGCTACGGAGTGCCGAGAAGTATTTCAACATGGGAGCGGGTAGCAGAAGAAACTACATCTAGGGTTTCGGAAAAGCCCTCTCTTGATGCTTTTTGGGAGTCACTGAAAGTCATGGCGGGTGGTCGTAGAGAGGGATCGTCGATGAAGAGTCAATCGCTTCGTGGATCTCGAATTGCTTTTGCGATCCTCATCGGAGTTCTTCTCGGTTGCGTCTGTGCCTTCTTGTTCCCTCATGGACTTCTCACTCCCAACCCTCAGAATCTCAATCGCCGCCTTGCAAAATCAAATCTACAGGTCCGGTTCCAATCTTTCCTCATATCCTCAACAAATATACATACATATGCTTGTATATATGAATGTATTTATGTGTATGTAGCTGATTTTTTAAAGTTATTTTACGTGAATGGGTTACTGTGAATTAACATTTCATGTTCTTCTTCGAAATTTAATTGAACATGTATTGTGTTTAATTTTGAAATATAGGGCAAAAACTGTGCTGTTGGTACATATGAAATTTACAGTTTGAGTTTTTTTATGGGAAATGTATGGAATTTTAGAGATGGTTTAATTTTAGTTTTGGAGTTGTGTTATTAGGTAAAATTCTTAGTTTACATTGGTAATGTGAAGTACTAATTGATTTTGATGTTTTAGCTAATGGGTCCATATAATGAACTAAGTTAAGGTAAAGTTCTCATCTTTGTTTTAGATCCTTTTTGGTTTTGGCAATTATTGTCTGATGTACATGTCTGGTATGGAAGTAATTACAACTTTAATTCATTGATGCAAATGACTGGTATGGAATTAATTACTACTCCAATTCATTATTCTTGAGGTCAATTCTATATGCCTTATTTTTTGGTGATTTATTTGTTAGATTGGTTCATCCTCATGTGAATCGACAGAAAGGATTAACATGTTAAAGTCGGACATCATGGGGTTATCAGAAAAGAATGCAGAGTTGAGGAAGCAGGTTAGGGAGCTAACTGAGAAGTTACGGCTGGCTGAGCAAGGAAAAGATAATGCACAGAAGCAGTTTATGGTGTTGGGTGAACAACATAAAGCTGGGCCTTTTGGCACTGTCAAGGGTTTGAGAACTAACCCAACTGTCATTCCTGATGAATCTGTGAACCCAAGATTGGCAAAAATCTTAGAGGAAGTTTCTGTTCGGAAAGAGCTTGTTGTTGCTCTTGCCAATTCGAATGTAAAAGACTCGTTGGAGGTCTGGTTCACTAGCATCAAGAAAGTGGGCATAACCAATTATCTGGTTGTGGCATTGGATGATTGGATTGCGGATTTCTGCAAATCAAATAATGTTCCAGTGTATAGGAGAGACCCGGATGAGGGTATTGATTCAGTTGCCAAAACAGGAGGTAACCATGCCGTCTCGGGTTTAAAGTTTCGTATCTTGAGGGAGTTTTTGCAGCTGGGTTACAGTGTTCTTCTCTCAGATGTTGATATAGTATATGTGCAGAATCCATTTGAACATTTATATCGTGATTCTGATGTGGAATCCATGACGGATGGTCACAATAATTATACGGCTTATGGATTTAATGATGTCTTTGATGAACCTGCCATGGGTTGGGCTCGATATGCTCATACAATGCGGATATGGGTTTATAATTCTGGTTTCTTCTATATAAGGCCTACAATTCCTTCAATTGAGCTTTTGGATCGTGTGGCTGATCGCCTTTCTCGGGAACCAAAGTCGTGGGACCAGGCTGTTTTCAATGAAGAGCTTGCTTTCCCTTCCCATCCTGGGTATATTGGGCTTCATGCCTCTAGGAGAACTATGGATTTCTATCTCTTTATGAATAGTAAGGTCCTTTTCAAGACTGTAAGAAAAGATGCTAAATTAAAAAAGCTTAAGCCAGTCATTGTTCATGTGAATTACCACCCTGATAAACTTAGAAGAATGAAAGCAGTTGTTGAGTTCTACATTAATGGCAAGCAAGATGCATTGGAATCATTCCCTGATGGGTCGGAATGGTAAAAATCAAACTGCAGGAGATTTGTTGATCAACGGGTATGCTCAGCAGTTTCCTTCTTGCTTATATTCACTGGATACAGATAGTCTAAATCGTTAAACCTTCTGAAAGCAATGTCTAATTTGAATTTTTATTTCTCTGCTTTTAGCTTCAGTTCAAATTCTGTGTTCCTTTTTGTCATAATAACTTTTGTTTAATTCACATTTGAGTGCCTCCCATGATAAACGAATGTGCTATTTTATGTATGTTTAAAAAGTGTTACAAATGAATTTTTTTACGTTTGTGGATGAAGAGTTTGCTTTACACTGTACTGTTGCAAGCATTATAATGTTGAATTTTTTCTGCTTGATTGCGTTGTTCTAGAATTGCATTTTGGTGTTGGCTGTCTACCTTGAAGTAAATGATGAAGTGTTGCAAATGCAAAATGAACATAGCATGCAAATGAAAATTAGACCCGATGACTACATTAAATATCGATAAACATCATATGGATATAGGTACAAACTTCCTTAAAGTGTATGTGAAAAACAGATAATATTTGGTCAGATTGGTGAGTAATCTCCTCAGAGCCTATAATTGAGCTGCTTTGGACTTTCACCATATTGCTTTTGTTTGTTGTTTGGTAATTCTCAACCTTTTTACACTTGGGTTATGCCCTTGGTACTGGTCATATTGCTAGAGTACTGTGCTTATTAAATACCCGCATTTGGAAGTAGTTCTTTTCTTTTCTTCTCTCTCTAGCACCATATATCTGAAATGGGGGATTTAGACTGTCCAGTTTACTCTGGTGTAACTCTAAATTTACTTGATTGGCGTAGTCTTATAGCATAGACATTGCAGGCTCTCCTGAACTGAGGCTTAAGGATTTTTTACATTGTATCCAACAGTGATATCACACTTCACATTACATCAAGAGGAAGTTTTTACAGTGATCGAATTGGTTGTTAGGCATTGCAGCCTTTTCTGTAATTGAGGCTGCAGGATTTTCAACGTTGTAACTGATCCCATAAAGAGTGCTATAGCATTCTTCAAAAAGTTGAGACTAACATCAGCAAGCATCTGATTGAAGTCTCTCTTATTAGTTGCAGAAAATGCCTGAAGAAGAAGAAGAAGTTAGTCACTACATGATCACTAGGCCTACCTAATATTTAAACAATAGAGTCTGCATAAGGTTTTTGCAGCCTTACCAAACCGGTACCAAGATAAGCTTTGAGTTTATGAGCAAATTCTATAGGACTGAAATCACTTGCAGGTTACGATTTTCGTCACTGAAAGAGTTCACACTCACTGGTTAATCATTTTCATCACTTGCTTGGCCCTTTCAGCACTGTTGTAAGGCATTTGTGTACCATAGATAAAAGGGTAAATTACACTGAGCGACCTTGAGATTTCTTCAATATATGACCTCTAGCGCCGAATTATACTTACCTCTCATGAGATTTGTGTGTAAACAATACATCTCTTTCCTTTGTGAATACTCAACGACAAAAAAAATATTGATATCAGCAATTTGTAACCATCAAATTCCATTTCTACTAGTGAAAAACATGTTTATTGCAATAAAATACAATACATGTATAAGAACAAAATCGTAACACAAACCTGAAGGGTTAGAGAGGAGGTCAATGTACATTGACAAACAATGACCTGTTTGATGTCAGTGGTAGCCTGAGTTTCACCGACGTCATGACCTTACCATTGTCAACAGTCCAACTCGAAATGATTTTCAATATTACACATGACATGGTGTACAATTCAAATGATTTTCCTTATATAAATATTACACATGACATGGTGTACAATTCAAATAAAGTACAAATGACCTCAAACCAATAGTAACTCGAAATAAATTTTTTTTTTTTTTAAACAATTAGTAGACATGACCTGGTGTATAATTCACAGGCAAGACTCGTGTTAACATGAGGTATCATTAAATATCATCAAATGCTTCTTAGTCACATTTTAATCATGAAATGGGTTGGATTGACATGTAAATAATTTTTTTTTAATAAAGTTGTTGTATTTAATTATGTGACATTTGAATTTGGACGAAATTGTATGGTCTCGATCAAATCATAGTTTCTACTATGTTTGTAGAGGGGAGTGCTAATTGCAGTTGCTTAATAAGGCAATCCAAGAGCCGAGGATATCAATAATTGTCTTCTTAAAAGACTATGCATTTTGTATCTTGGCCAACGTGAGTCCCAACAAACAACCTCAACCAAATTTTAGAGATTGCTTCAGTCCGATATACACCGTTTCCAGATGCAACAAAGACTCAACAGATTGCTTTATTCCAGCGACGCCTCAAGCCGTCCTTGGCAAAACCCAGTTCAGTCTATTGCATTGGAAGCTGCATTTTTTTAGGCATCTCTTGTTGTAACTAGCTATATATATTCTTTCCAGAATCCATCCATCTGAATGAATTATCATATTTATATTTTTTTTCCTTTTTCAGGATTCATTCACATAACACTAGTCACATCATCATGTGGATAGATTAAAAGTAAAAGAGGAGAGAAGAAGAAAGACTAGATAATTTAAAAGGGTATAACTTAATAATTTAGATTATTTTTATCTAAAAAAAATAATATTTGTAGAATCCCATAAAAATAATAACTTAACTAATTAATACATTTAAAGCTAATCAATTCTAACAACGACTGTGAAAGGACAGTCGGTTGCACGACTGAAATTAGCACTCCTCGTTTGGAGAGATTGAAAGTTTAAAATATAATGCAACATGTGTATAAGTGAATCAATTTTTTATTATTTTTATTTTTTTTTATTTTTATTTTTATTTTTATTTTTTTATAGGGCCTATTCACTAACAGGAATCCATTCCCGTTTTCACTGACAATAATAATTTTGTGTCGTCTCTTTCAAATTCCACTACTTTCAATAGTAAATTTGTACCTACTTAAATTCATTTATTTGTGAAATTTTACCATAAATTCATCACAAAATTTATCATTAGAAAGTATTCGAGTTCTGCCTTCATTTTTCACTAAAAAAAAACATAAAAAAATTCACATATTTATTGTATTTGTCCCAAAATTATCTAATATAGGTATTTTTGTTGAATTGATGGCCATCACCAAATATTTGTAGGTAAGGCGGGACCAAGAATTTCATGAAAGCTTCTAAAGCAGCTGTACATCTTCAGGACGAAGCTGCCTGGCTGTATTATATAAACATTAAACATGGATACATTTAGTTGACTTGTAATTATTTATTGTGTTTCAAAAGAACTGGAGCAATGTACTTAAATAATAATACAAAAAAAAAGAAAAAGTACTCAAATAATTATTTATTGTAAACAATAACTGCATAATTATGAGTTCCCCACCCATTAAATTCGGTGGGATTCATAGTTTTATTATGCAGGCTGTCTAGTTGGCACATAAATTGTCAATTAATATATATTTTTAATTTATTGAAATGCCCTCCTGAATTAATGAGTTGCCTAAAAGGGGTATGCCCTTGAATCAGCAAGTTGTTGATATAAATGTGAGAATTATAAAGGAGCATACTTTGTCCTTTATTTTTTTATTTTTTTAATTTTTTGTATTATGCACTATTCAACATTTATTACTTTAAACTTTCATAACCTCTGTTTATTAGATTTTGAAAAGTGACTTTGAGTGCCAAAAATTAATAATGTCATAAATATTAGGACGAAGCCGTCTTTAGTGTAAAGAGATCCTGCACAAAATTAAGTGGTTGAGACTGAATCATCACTAGTGGGTCCTATTTATCAATTCAATCTCAATCATTAATTCTGTGTAAGACTTCTCCTGCGCTGAAGAGGGAGGATCATCATCCTAAACATTAAGGGTATTGTTGAGCAAACGTCCCAAATTTGTCTAAATTCTAATAACCGGTGTAATTTACATTTTTTTTACCTTAGCACACTCTCGATTTTCGCATTAAATATTTGAATTCGTAAGTTTTTATTTAGAAAAAAATATCACTAAACACAATTGTTACTGTAAAAGACCTGAATTTTCAATCTTTCATTTGAAAAAAAAAAAAAAAAAATAGGATTGCTTTTTATTAATACTACATCCGATTTTATTTTAAATAATTATGACCAAAGTTTAACCTCTTTTTAGTTTTTTTTTACCAACCACCTGTGTAAAGTGATTTGGTGCTCAACTTTTTAGGGCACCTAATAACAAGAAGGTGGGCACCTTATCATGTGACATGAAATAGATCAAGGTGTCCTACGATTCAATTTATTCAAAGTACATATCATTGAGTTTGAATTATAAATTTAAATTTGTAAAAACAAGATATCTGATATCTAATCTTGTACCTTGATATGAGTCATTTTGAAATCACATTTATTAAGGAATTACTTGATTAGAAAAAAAAAAAAAAAAAAAATCATATGTTATGTTACTCCACAGTCCACAACTATTAAAAATTACCTGTCACGGTGAAAATAGAATTCAAATCTAACCTTAGTCACTTTCTTTAAAAACAATGCCCTAGTAAAAAAAAATTAGATGTGCCCACAGGGAACAAACACCATCATCATTACTAAAGTGCCACGTTGTCTTGGATTAATCTTAATTTCTTGATTAGTCAATGGAGCTAACAAATATCTCTCTAAAAACGACAAAGTCAAGTACTTGCAACTATCATTTTCGCGTTTAATTAAAAAAAAAATCAGGTTTCTTCTTATTTCTGAAAACAACAGGGTTTTGGAAAGCATAGCTTGCCCGTTATTTAACAGTAATAAAGATAAAAAGTAGAGTGAGTGAGAGAGAGAGAGAGAGAGAGAGAGAGGTCTCCCCTCAACTTCCAAAATTTGGGTATCTTCTTTTCTTAACTTTTTTTTTTTTTTAATTATTATTAATTTATCTTTATCTTGTTTGTGGTTAAAGCCTGAGGACAGTGTGGTTTCTGGAATTGCAGTACTTGTTAGCTGTGTTTTGTCAGAAAATGAGTGTGTTAACAGAATTTCCACTGTGTTAAACACAATTGCTTTTGTGCATATTCTACAGAAGCTGGGCTTTTTTTGGCCTCTCTTCTAAGGCCAATCCTCTCGAGCCCTGTGAGTCTCTCTCTCTGTGTCTCTCTCTCATAACTTCTTATTTTCTCAAGTTTCTGTGTATTGGGTTTTCTTTGTTTTCTCAAGTTTCTGTCTATTGGGTCTCTTTCATAACCCTTATTATTTATGTGTATATATATATATATATTTTCAATTCTTTTTTTTTTTTTTTTTTTGCTTCTTGGGTAGATCAGTGTTTCGAATTCTCTGCATTTTTTGACTCATATGTTTGGTGGTCTGATCTGTGAGTCTGAGAACAGTTTGATTCTTTTGTTATTTTCTTTTCTAACGTGTTGCATATAATGTCAACAAGATCTGAAGCAATTTTACTTGGATATACTGAAAATCTGAAGTTAACCCTTTTTTCTTTCACGTTTGTGATAAAGTGGTGCTAATTTTAGTTATGATGATGATTTTGCTAATTTTTGTTACTTGGGAAATGGTGAATAAAAAGTTAGGGTTCGGGGTGAAATTGTTCAGTAAGATACTTGTGAAAGAATGTCGGCGGTTTGGAGCTATTTCTCCGATCTAAACTTGTCTTTGTGGTTGTATGTGTATTGAAGTAGTGCTTTCATGTTGACTTTTCACGTATTTCATTTGTGTTATCTGTTTCTCTAATTAACATTGGTTGCCAACCCCAAGTAGTTGGGATTAGCATCTAGTTGAGACTCTCTCTGCCAGTTTAGAAGTTTTTAAATGAGCTATTTTTTTTAATCATTATTAAGAACCATGTTGTTTTTTACATTCCAATAATATTCCAAACAGGATGTCACATTGAGTTGTACATCAGTTTGCTGATTCATTACCAAATAATTTTTATATTTTCAGCATTTTCTTTAAGTTGTTTATTTCTTAGTGAATAGAAAAAAATGATGCAATACAAAATACCATAGTAATGTAAGGTGAAACTTGTTAGATTTGGAATAAGATAAAGTGACTTAACTTTATTTTGAGCAATGCTTTTTAACAGTTTTATTCTTGAGTTACTGTCAAATTTAGGTTAAAAAGTATCACTAAACAAACCAACTGTGATGTAGAAAGATAATTTTATGTTTTCCCCTCGGATGCAGAAACAGCTTAAGAATCTTCAGATATGTTTCTAGAATTTTTGGAAAATTCAAACTACATCCAATGTGAATCAATTACAGAAATGAAATGAGGGACGGATTTATTTCATGATATTTTATATTCCCCCTAAGATGCAGAAACAGCTTTAGAATGTTGAATCTTTCATAAACTTTCCTAGTTTTTTTTTCCCCTGAAATTTGTAAACTTCACCAAAGATAATTCAATTATAGATAATAGATGAGGAAAGGGTTTCATCCTCCATTCTCGGTGAGGATGCAAAAGCAACATTAGTTTTTGGTGGAGCTTTAAGTTGTGGAATTCTTTATTGGCTTCACACCATAAGTTGAAACTTCTAACAGATATAGCTATTTCTTTACAATTTTCAAATTTAAAAATGTATTGAAATCTACATTTCAGATTAAATACTACCAGGAGATAAATAGATCAATAAATAAACATTTGGAATTCTGGCTATAATTAGATCAAAATGAGTGGCTATGGTAGTGGTCCTCCACTAATGCAATCAGACTTCCTTTGGTGGTTGGTTTGGTTACCATTATTTTATTTCCTATAATGGCTCTTTGCTGTTTATTCTTGCTAGGGGAAAGTCCTGATCTTTATCCAATATACTAACAATATATCAAAGTCAACTTACTTGAGTTGATTAACTAATAACTAGTTGGTGATTGGAGGTTACTGAAAAGTAGTTGCAGAAGTGGCATGGCTACACTTAGTTTATCCATGGACATCACATAATCAACCAATTTAAGAGAAGTCAAACGGAATTCAAAAGGTTGAAGGCAAATATTCTTTCTATTTTTTAGTTGTACAAAGGAAGAGTCTGTTTTAGGAGAAATTCTATATTAAAAGAGGAAATGATCAAGCCACTTATATAGAGGCATCTAAAGTACACTCTGGAATTCAAGGATGAAAAACCACAGAGCATGTTCTATCTGTGAATAAAGTAGCTCATATGGTCTTTGGGTTAAGTCATATAGTTTAAGGCAATTGGTATTGCAATTTCATAAAGCAACACATCATGCTAGAAGAACAGAGGTGACTTTTACTGAGGTGCGTGATAATATGAAATATGGGTTTAGAAAATTCTTTATTATCTCGTGAGGCATCGTATCTTCGGTAATTTCCCTTGCACAAAGGCATCATTGGATCATATTAATATGCTGTTTTTATGAATTATGCAAATTGATGGTGTTTCCCTTTTTCTATTTTCAGAACCAGACTTTTTACTGTTGACTATTTTGGATTGTAAAACTCCATCCGCCTGTCTTTAATTTTTTATATCTCCAGTTCATTTTACCTTTCCAAATGAGATTTTTCTCTAAGAAACACAACATCGTTATGAGCTCTAAACCTCTTCAAGCATATGATGCTACTTGTGTTTCTAAAATACCCGTTAGTTTTCAACCCTTTATTTTTCATTGTGCATTTTTCCTTCTACTTGCCATTTTTACTATTGCAGTGATCTCTTTACGTGGAAGGTTATATGGTTTTATATTTGTCTAATAGGTATGGCTGGCCTGGACTGACTTATGGTCATAAAGTTAGAAGCAACATGAAATTTGGATCGAAGAAAAAATGGAAGTCAATAGTGCCTCTCCGTTTGAGAGGCAAATCAGCTACCCGTTTTTGTCTATTCCCCAAAGTGAAGCCAGCTGGTTGTAGTCCAGGCAATACACCAGTTTATCTCAATGTATATGACTTGACACCCAAGAACGGCTACGTCTACTGGGCCGGCTTTGGTATTTTTCACTCTGGTGTGGAAGGTAAGTTTACCAACTTTATTTTTATAGGTTGCCGCTTGTATGTTTTCTTGCTTTTTTCATTTGTTTGTTGGCTTTATTATTCTTAACCTAGTTCGACCGTCCTTGCTGTTGTAAGGAATGAAAACATTTGTCCATCCTGGACTTGGGACACTTTTTATGCTTTATTTCCCCTTACCTATATTCTATTCCAATGCAGTTTGGCTTGACTTAATGCTTTGGAAACATTGCACTGTATATTAACATATATATGATTCAACGAGATCAGTTTCTTTGCAGTTTCTATGTGAAGTTTCCGTACATCTCTATAGGGGAGTAATTAATCATGTGTCATTAGAGTAATTGATTTTCATGACATTCTTTTCACATGTGTGAAATGATGAACTAAATAACTGAAGCCATCTGAAGAGTTCAGGATATTTGAGTTTTATCTCTTCATTGCAATATGAGAAACTAAGATTTTGGCAAATTGAAAGACCAAAACTAATTTAAAATGCTTGGCAACTTGTCTTGTTGTAAGAGTTGGGGTGCAGAGGCTTCAGGCTTCTTGTGGTGGGGGAAAATTTTGGAAAAAATAAGATATTTATGGCTCTTATTTAAGGTGGAAAAGGGTCTATTGTACCTATACAGCCTGCCACAACTACATGCTAACCGAATGGTGTAATGAAGGCAAAATTTACTAGGCTTAGATGTTAAGACTAATTCTCGAATGCAACTCTTTAATCACCTCTCTCTCTACTTTCTCCCTAGGGCAAAACCCATAACATTAAACACATCTAGCACATGGCATAGAATACCTTGAAAATTCATAAATAAGTGTGCATTGTGAGGTTGGTAGTAGATGTTCAACCCCAAAGGATGAATTTTGCTATGGTTGACTAACAAGCAACAAAACGGTAGTTTCCCTTGCTAACAGACCACTCAAGTTGAGGGGTTTGGGAGGAAAAGACAGGGAAGGAAAAGTAGGGGAGCCTTACAGTCTTAAACCCTTTTAGGATAAGAAGTGAGGAAAAGGGAGGGAAGGGGAAAGAAAAGAAGATGGTTCTAAACCCTCAAGTCACTCCTTTTGCTTTCCTCCCAAAAACTTTGAGGGGTTTGGGAGGAAAAGACAGGGAAGGAAAGGTAGGGGAGCCTTACAGTCTTAAACCCTTTTAAGATAAGAAGTGAGGAACAGGGAGGGAAAGGGAAAGAAAAGGAGGTGGTTCTAAACCCCTAAGACACTCCTTTTGCTTTCCTCCCAAAAAATTGGAGGAACAAATATGAATGCAAGGAAGCTTGTGATATCCATTTTATACGTTGTATTTATAACAAAAGATTTCCTTTTTTGTCCCTTGAACTCACATTGTAAGACATTATTTTTCTTTCCTTTCTCTTCTCTATCTTTTCCAAACAAGAGGGGGTTAGATCTTCTTTTTTTTTTTTTTTTAGTTGGTACTCATACACACATGCTTCCATTGAGACTCGAATCCCTGACCTTCCTTTGGGAAGTAGGGGCTTTGTACCGCTAGTTCACTGGCCTGTTGGTGAGGGGGCTAGATCTCTTCTCCTTAGTTATACATACAAAAGGAGGGGTTATTGCTATACTTTCCTTTCTTCTCTTCTCTCCTAGACTAATGCTATACTTTCCTTTCTGGTTTTCTCCAAAACCAAGTGTAGAAGCTTGCTAACCCATTACTGACTGATGAGCCTCTTGTGTGGTCTAGTGAGGTTGCTGTTTGAATTAAAAAAAATGTTAGTCTTGAAGCTAAAAGATTTCACTGTTAGGAATTAATCTGCCCAAGGTCACACACACACAAATATGCAATGGCAACAAAGGAAAAATAAGATGGAAATCACACACACAACAAAGAACAAGATTTACGTGGTCTGGCAAATTGCCTATGTCCACGGGCGAAGAACGACAAACTTTTATTTCAAGAAAAGAGAAGATAACTATTCCACTCATTCACTAGAAAAAGACACTCTTCAAAAAGAATACACTCACTCTTGGCCCTCACTAATTTCTCCCTTCTCTCTCTCTCTCTGTCTCTCTCCAATCTCTGTTCTTCACTCTATTTCAACACTAATCTCTGTTCTTCACTCTATTTCAACACTACTCAGCTCTTCACTCGGATCATTTCTTCAATCACTCAACAAACACATATATAAATGTTTCACTTCCTTAAGCAACAGCACATTTAATGTGCCAACACATCACACCAACCAAAACACACCTTTTTCCATTTCTTTCATTCAATACATACTGTTCTTAAATCACTCAACTCTCTGTTCTTCACTCTATTTCAACACTACTACTCAGCTCTTCACTCGGGTCATTTCTTCAATCACTCAACAAACACATATATAAATGGTTCATGTCCTTAAGCAACAGCACATTTAATGTACCAACACACCGCACCAACCAAAGCACACCTTTTTCCATTTCTTTCATTCAATACATACTGCCACACAACACACGCCAATCAACTTTACCCATTTCACCTTGGCAAACACATGCACCAATATCCTTCACCTATGTCACGTCATACCACAAATATACCAACTTGCATGTTTATGCGCCATATACCAAGATGCAAGAAATCTCCTTTACTTTTCTTTTGTTCAAGCATTGACATTATCCAGCTCACACATATTTAATACACATTTTCCTTTGACTATTCATCAGCACACACATCACTTGTTCAATCAATTTGAGCCAACTCAACAAGCACTTCATTGAGTTTGTTCTTAAATGACCCTCCGGCAGCCTTGTCTCCAAGTAAAACTAAATGGCCTATAACTCAGCAACAGTAAAATATATTTCAATGCTTGTAAATTTTGGATATATATATATATATATATATATATATATATATATATATATATATATATATAAAATATATAATGACATTAAAAATTTGAAGCTTGTATATCTTAAAAACATTTCAATGGGCTAACTATTATTCTTTCGCTGAGCTTTACACCTCTAGATGATAAAACGTGCCTATGTTGGAAAATTTTGTTGATCAAATCTAGAGTCTATAATTTTGTTTCTTTTTTCTAGATTAGTTAGAAATTCAAAAGTTAGTGTCATGTTAGTTACCTCTTGGACATGATTTCAAGGGTAAAAGTGTAATATTCTACACCAAGGGTAAAAAGGTGATTTGACACATTGGATGCCCTCGCCAAATTAGGGATTATGCATACACGCATTAGGGTCCCATATATTTCCTGATTTGATTTGATTCATGAAATCCTTTTTGATATGCATGTAAGTGTTTTAGGAACTTCTTAAATTGAAATTTTCTAAGTATAAAATCTGCAGTCGAGCTATCCATCAAAGCTCTCTGGATCTGGTTCGATCAATCAATCAGTTCCTCAACCGTTCAATCTATTCGGGATTCTATTTTCCTCTTCAAATTAAGACTAAAAATCCTTTTTTTCACTATACTTCTAATTAGACTGCATATACACTACTTGTAGATTAGATACATAGATATAGAGCATACATGGAGAATATTCGTGAGATCTAGAGTGCATTTATATTTCTTTACATTTATCATTCTTGCATTAGAATTGGTGAGTGTTTTCCTATTGTGTTGATGTCATTGCTGCGGAGATAATCAGACTAGTTCAACACCGACAACTCTTAAAATCCGTTAGAGATTGGGATGGACGACTAGTTTGCTGGAAATCGAATCACTAATTGGAGAAACATATTTGTGGGGTATATGAAATCTGTTGACTAGAGGATTGTGTGCCTGAAGACTTGACTGGAGAGTTTGGTGAATCAATCTGTGTCAAAGGGGTAACTAGTGGTTCTTGGGTTTGGGGACCTTTAACCTAGTTGTAGTCTTCTTTTTCCCATAGTGGATTTGATTTGGCTGTACTAGTTCCCGCATTTTTTTTTTTTTTGGTTGGATTTTTCATATAAATTGTTTGTGTCAATTATTTATTGCTTGCTACAATAGCTATAACAAAAATTGCAAAAATGGTTCCTTTTAATTGGCGACTACACCCCCGCCCTGCACGTCTCTCTATGTGTAGATACGGACCTTTCAGAGTCTAGGGCTACCAAGCTAACAAACTCTCATCACACTATCCCTAGATTGTGCAACTCTCACATACTCTTCAGGTAAAAGCATTGTGCATAGGAGGCCTTGCTTCTGTGAGCTTCAAACTTTGTTCCCAAGGAAACACTTTATAAGATAGCTTGGGATCCATATTTTTGTGGTTAGTGGGTGACCTTTGCTGATTGGCTTATTACTTGTGTGCATATTGGCACGTGTTAAGCTTGTGTCGTAAGTTCTCATCCATTGCAAATTACGTGCTGATTGGCAGAACTTTTGGAGCAAAAAGCTGGGAATTATTGCCTTACATATTTTGGTTGAATGGAACTTTGCAACAACAATACTTACCACTGAAGAAACTCATTCTTTTGATTTCCATCTTTCAATTGTTTGCTATATGTTTTCCCTATTTGAGGAGTAAAATGGACAGTTAACTTGCTTCCTAGATTGATTTGCTCTTCCTGCTATTTTTGTCAAATGAAAGAGTTGTGCATCAAATTATAATTCATTTTATGAATTGAGAAAAATGAAACCTCTTCCTTTTTGCTTCAGTCAGATATAAAATCTAAACTGAAGCACATCTTATGCATTGCATATCAGATCAGTCAATTAATTCTGTTGTGGATAATAATTGTATATTGTTGATGATTTATTATATTGCATCTGAGTTCTTGCTTAGGTAAAATAACACTTATTGTAACCCTACGTGCACTTTACAGTTCATGGTGTAGAATATGCATTCGGAGCTCATGATTATCCATCTAGTGGTGTCTTTGAGGTTGAACCCCGGCAATGCCCAGGCTTCAAGTTTAGGAAGTCAATACTCATTGGGACTACATGCTTGGACCCCACCCAGGTTAGGGAGTTCATGGAGCGCCACTCTGCAAGCTACAATGGTGATACCTACCACTTGATTTTCAAGAATTGCAACCATTTCTGCAAGGATATCTGCTACAAGTTGACAGGGAAGACAATTCCTAAATGGGTGAATCGCCTGGCAAAAATAGGTAGTCTTTTCTCATCAACCGAATTGCACTTATTGAACATGCATGCACTTAATTTCCATCTGAGTTTCCAAGACACTTCGGATTCAAATACCTAGGGTACAATTTTTCTTGTTAATTCCTATAGCTGTTCTGCATGCTTCTGCATCAACACTTGATACTCAAATTCTTTTCTTAAAAATGAAAGCAGCTTACTTTCCAAAAAAAATTATAAAGAAATTAAATAAAAACAGCTTACCTGATTTCATGATGTCCTTGTTCACCTTCCAAACTAATATTTGCTTTTTATTTATTCTGTTTGCTTTTGTTTTAAATGAAACTTCCTTTCTGTTGTTTTGTTTAATTATTCCCCTATTTCCGAGTGAGATGCTGTGATTGGCTGCTGAATTGCAGCTTCTGATGTTTCATCTATGTCAAATGGAGAAACTGTAGTAACAAGAGTCGCTCAACACAAACTCTGGAGTTTGATCGTTTTGTATCACCTAGGAGATATTTCTCACCTATGCTGAGGTTCACCTTATTACAAACCACCCCCCCCCCCCCCCCCCCAACACCCTCCCTCTTCTTCCCAAAAAAAAAAAAAAAATTTGGAGAGGTGGGGTGGTTGGTGGCTAAGATAAGATGTGATCTGAAGAATATTTTGTTGGGAAGTACAAGTCAAGATCAGTTCCTCCTCTATTCAAAGAATTTCAAATTAACCATTTCAGGCCCGTGGTCTAGGTGGTATGACCTCCTGTGGAGACCAAAGGTTCAAGCCCCAAGTTCCCAAACCGCCAAGTAGTGCAAAACGAGTGTTTAAAAGTAACCATTTCCATTGTTCATATGGTAGACACCTTAAGATTATAAATGTGCATCCAATTTCCTGTAGCTAGTATGTATGTATTTTTTTTTATTTTTTTTTCCAGAATGATTAGAGAACGGACGTAATAAGAGGATATCCTAGCTGGGAGTGGTCCATCAAGCACTTTTACTGTTGTGCTGTGCAGTTTTACCTTCCAAATCTCCAATATGTTGATGTAATTTTCTTCACTATTCCTTTCAGGTTCGATCTTCAACTGTGTGCTACCTGAAGCCCTTAAAATTTCTGCTGTGCAACATGACCCGAGTTACCAAGCATGTGACAGCGAGAAGAGAAGGCTAAGAGGCGCATTTAGTTGCCTGTCATCGATCTCAACGAGGCAAAGACAGTTGTCAATGTCTTCATTGTTTCTTCAGTCCCCCTTAAAAGGCTGCTTACCACCATGAGAAGTGAGAAGATCTAATGATGGCTCACTAAAAGGAAAGGTGAGACGAGGATGACCATTGAAATCCTTTTACTTCGAAATCTTGTAGACGAGAACTGTTTGGAAGGTTTCTCTAGCTTTCATGTATTTGAAAATTGATAGCGAACGTGTTGTTCTTGTGTCAGTGTCAGTGCTAGAGCTTATTAGTCTCGCCATCATCTACTTTTTTCTAGGTTTGTGGAGTGATGCATGTCACCTTTGTAATATAATATTCTAACTCAAATCCTTTGATTCTATTTGGTTCTTCACAAGAAGAGAATCCATAAGATTCATAGGACCCTCGAAAATGTTTCTTCCATTGATGTTCTTGGCAAAAGTGGCACTTTGTGATTATATTGACTTGGATAAGAGGAGAATTCCCTCTCTGACAGGATATTCTACAGCCCTTTCTTTTTTATTTTTTTATTTATTTTTTTTTGATAAATAAAAAACCAGTCAAAAGGGGTACAACACCAGGACTTTTCAAGGGTTACCCATTCTAGTACTATTCTGGCTAATGCAGCACAGTGCATTAGTGCTGGTAAACATTCTGTTCCTTTGCTTTATAAGATTTGTATATAAACAGGTGGATATTTATGGTTGTAAAAGAGCAAGTGCTAGCACCCTTAAGTTGTAGGCAATATGATCTCTAAAAACTCCAATTGCAATCGGCATAAAGGCCTCCTAGTGGCCCCAATAAAAAAAATGCTAGCACCAGACAGATGAGAAAAAAATTAAAAAAATGAACAGAACTATGCCCTACCAGCCTGATATTTATATCAGAAACATATGGAAGAAAAAGTAGGTGAACAATCAACAACTTACTTCCACAAAGATCATTTGTTAATATTTACATATGCTTCATAAACTAGGAGATTATGCTCAAAATGGTATCATGATTGCCTCTAAGCAATGGAGCATAAAAATCTGACTAGGACTAGGTAACTTTTGCGAGCGAGGCTGTGAAATTATCAATCCTCTTTCTGAAGCAAAACAGTAGGCAGGCTACTATTACCATTGAGAGCAGCAAGATATATTCGTTTCTCCGCCAAACCAATATCTGACAGTATCAGATTACCCTGCAACCAAAAACAGCAAATGAAACCAGTCGGTATGCTATGGAATTAAAATTGTGTTCTGAACTAGGACTCATTTTAGACAAAACTAAATGATCCAGCAAGCAAGCAACTGGGCGCAGTTTAAATCATTGCAAGTTAAAAATGAAAAGTCAATCGTGGACTCTAATGCATAAATCTTATGTTTATGGTTAAGTAAAATGACGTTGAATTTATGTCAAGTATGCAATGCAGTTTGGATTCCTCAATAGTTCAAAAGATATTTGAATTGATAGAATATGCCATGCAATTTAAAACAAAGAAGAACACTTCTACCGTTTTAGAAAGCACAAAAGTCTTGAGTAGTCACCATAATCCAATGCATTTCTTTAGCAATACTCTATTTAACTTGATTGCAAAGGAAGAAAAAAATATATCCAAGTCACTCAACCAACCATTTTATCTAGGTTTTCTGTCTTTTTGTTTGAAAAGTAAATTTCCTATCGTTTTGTTTTTGTAAAGTTCGCTTTAATAATAGGTTGTCAAGTGTCCGGCACTAACCCCAAGAAGGTGAAAATCTGTGTAACAGATTCAAAAGCATCTCTTTTACCCTTAGTTTTCCATCTTATTTAATATTGTTAGGAGAAAGTCTCATTTATTCGCAAATTTTGTGATTAAAAAAACTATCTTGATTGTATTCACAAAATGGTGAAATTAGGTAGAAGGGATAAATCACAGGTTGATTGATCATGATTGAATACTTGAATTCAAGATTAGAGATGAACCTCATTGTTTAGATTTTCAGAACTGAGCACGCATTTTAGAAAGTATAAGTAAACTAGATCTACGCGGTTAATGACTATGGGAAATCACTGAAATACTTGAAAATTGAAAATATGAACAGCTACTTAACCAATTAAAATAGAGGGATCAACCGGTCAAAATTTTACAAGAATTATTTTATGCAATCAATATATACTTGACCGATCAAATCATGAGTCTGATCAATAATATTAATTGAAAACAAACACGGACTGGTTGAACTAAAGTAATTGATTGATTGAGTTTTTGTCTGAAACAGCACCTTGAATGTGGGACCAATAATCAAGAATGGCCCTCTACAGAATGGAAAATCCCAAACTGTATATTGTAAACTTGGCTCACATTACTGTTGTATGGTTCCTTTTTGAGATGTTTTCAATGGTAATATTGTAAGAATGGCAGTTAATTTGGTGATCAGGTATAACATTTTTAAGACAGTTGTATAGATGACTCTTCAAGAGCTTGGCTTCTATTCATATTACTATGGTTATGCCTGTATACTTGTTCCCTTGCCCTCACAGGGCCATTGCTTGGTAAAGCGGTAAGAATTGGGCTACCAAGCGTGACAATGCATGTTTGGTTTGAAGGTAGTCATTTTATACAAAGAATGCCAAATGTTAGGTCAATATCTAGTATACCCTCTCAACACACTTGATTAAAGGGGACCACACTTCGTTCATGGCCCTCGTCAACCAATAAAAACTTTATCCCCAGAGAAGTTGAAATTAGAGATATAGAAAACTCCTAAAACCAACAACTAAAACTCCTAAAACCAACCACTATTTGATTGTTTAATGACATCACTGTGCAGGCACCATTCTAAATTTATTCACAGATATCAGATTATCAGGGCATTTAAGCGACAGACATATATTTTGGTATCACAAGTATTTCTTGAGGAAGGCCCTCTAAAATCTCCTGAAAATCTGAAAAGTTTATAAGTTCACAGAGTTGGCATTTCTATTTCCAGCCCATGGTTCGGTTAGAAAATTATGAGTCATCGCATTGTAGTGCCTTTTGCCTTTGAGGAACTACAGGCTCCTAAGCCTCCTATATTTAATAGTTTAATTATAAGATAAAAACTCACACACTCAAGGAGTCCTAATATTCCACAAATGAGATTCCAGTTACATTAGTGAATTTCGTCATTAGAAACTGGAGAAATGCATACCTCACGAGCCATCAACCTTCGGACATTCTCAGCATAAAGTTTTGGATCATTCTTTTCCTCTTGTGAGGGGTAGTAAACAGGTAACCATGTAACCTCAATGTGATTTACAAATTGACAAAGAAGAAAAATGACATGCCGCACCTGCAAATAAAGAAACATATTGAAATTAGAAGTAGAAAATCTAAAAGAAATGATGGGCAACATGAAAATTTCCAAAATATGGTAGCAGAAAATATATAATTCAAGAGCACATGCATGATGTGAGTTTCCATAAAGAAATTTAGTCATTGAAAAAGAAAGGAAAAAATAAGCAAACATTAATGGATTCCTAATCTTCATACTCCATGTTTTAAGGGCATGTCTTCTGTTTCAATTTTGCATTATAAGTAACTGAGAATAATTTGGATCAATCAAGTTTTACTTTTCTAAAACAAGGGCTTTCATAGTTGTACTATGACTAAAAACAAATTTTCAGCGTAGGATAAGAGGAATAACCATGGCTTACTTTAAAAAACAATTAAGACAAGCCTTCATTTGAAAGCAACAGGTAAATAAAAATATATAATTCCAGAATGATAATTTATTAACAGTAATGCAAAACTGATGAGATCCTTTGTGCCTAAGAACAGTCAAAAAGCCAATTTAATTTTCGACATATTAATGTAACATGGATTAACTCAGATGTCTTTATCTGGATTTTAGTGAGACCATGAAAGTTGGGACTGCTATAGATATACTCACCCCAGTTATGGAGTCCCAGGCAGGACTAAATATCTGATAAGGATATCTTAGAATCACTGGAAGAACTGGAGCTTTTGATAGAAATGCACCAGTCTTAAATGGAAGGAGGAAGTCTCCATTTGTCGTTGTGCCCTCTGCAGTAAAATATAAAAGTAATTAACTGTAAAACAGCGCTCTAGACAAGTATTGTAGGGCATGTGCAAATAATCTAGATGTGTGGTATAGAAAAAAGTGGTGGGACAAAGTTATTTTTATCCTGACCATTAACAACAAAGATTTGATCACAATAGCTACAAAGCAGCGCCACACTGACATGAGATCTACAAAACTTCACATCAAGTGTTGCAAACATAAGTAAGCAGTACATTTATATAGCCTTAACGACATTATCCATTCGTAGGAGGGTTTAGTTAAAACTTAAGCTTAGCAGAACGGATCAGGCAACTGACAGGCAATGCACCACAAAACCAAAGCAGTGAACATATGAGCACTAGTGTATTAACAGGATCAATTTGCTAACCCAGAAAAAGCATCATCATTGGGGCAAACTTATTCTGATGAGCTTCTTGAATTCTTTTGTTGACAACACCTGCAAGCAGCAAAAGAATATCTAAACAAATATTGACATTCAAAATATATTAAATACAAAATAACTTAGTTCTCCAAATGTGGAAATTGTTCTTTTTTGTAAAGCTTATTATTGAGCTGGTAAGAAAAATAGTGAGCAAGATGCCAAAACAAATTTGTTTTAAGTCCATGATTGGTTATATTATCTGGATCACATCAAGAAGGGCGTAAAATGCGTTGGCTGATCAGAAGGCATGGCCCAAAATAAATTCATGAAAAATATCAGCCTACTCTTACAGAATTATCTGATAAAGCCAAAAAAAAAAAAGGAGCTACAGTATTTGTAAGATGAAAACATTGAAACATGATGACCTTTTTCATGACAAACACCCAAAAACTTCAACACTATAATCAGAGTGGAAATATACTTGTCCTCATATGATGAGATCAGCAGGATCTTTGTCTAACTGACTGAGAAGCATGAATACACAAACCTAAAAAAGTAGTTTTAGGATAATCTAACAAGTGTTGGCATATTCTGTGAACAAATGCCTTGGGATATAAGAGCAACAATGAGTGAACATTACTCCATGAAAATACACATATCTATGAAGTGCCATAACTCAGGCTAGAAACTGCTCCTGAAGAAAACTAATATTCTAATAAACAGAACGAAAAGGCCAAAAAGGACTTTATTTATTTTTAAAAATATTTTGAAGTGGATAGGCATAAAAGAATTATGTACCAGAAACACCCTTGAATTGAGATGATTTCGACTCCCGCTGGACATAGACACATCCAAGGCATTTGCTGTAGAAAAAACAAATTAAGGCCCTCTAGATTAATCTACTGACTATAATAACAATATATATGTACACATGAATGTGCTGTCATCAGGAACTGAAGTCTAAAGGTTATAAGAAATGCATGAAACGAAAAACTAGAAATAGAAGAAGACACTAGAAATAGAAGAAGACAGGAAATGTTATGGCAAGGACTAAGGATATTGGTTAAAAGTCTCACCATACTGTAATCTCATTAAAAGAAAAAGATAATTGGTACTTCTGCATAGCGAAGCTTGTAACTGAATTAAAATTAGAATTATTGTAATTAGAATGTAAGACCTCAGAAAGCACTGAAGTAAACAGTGTTGCACCAAGATTAGGACCAGTTAATCCCATTGATCATTATCTATATTTCTCCCCTTTATAACTGTAACTCATCATAGTAGAGAACTTAAATATTTCAGCTTTTTTTTTTTAATCTCATAACAGTTCTTAGGAGTTCCTGGATTCAAACAACAAAGAAAACAAAAAGGGTAAATTACATCGACCTCCCTTGTTGAATGCCTAAATAGCAGGGACCTCCCCTCCAGATTCAAAAATAACACTGATCTCCCTGTACTTCTGGTCAGACTAAAACTGACCTCCCCGTCATAAAATTCATTAGTATTGTCTGATGATGTAATGCTTAAAATTTACTTAAAACCCTATTGTGCCCTTAGAAAGCTTGAAAAGACAAATATTTTACAATAAAAAACAATAAAAGTACATTGGGTATAATTGTCATTCCACGCCTTTGGTAAACCGACAACACTGACTTTGGAGGTCATTGTTATTTTTGAAACCATAGCAGAGGTCCCTGTAATTTTGGCATTCAACAGGGGAGGGCAGTGTAATTTACCTTATATATATATATATATATATATAGGTCAGTATGCAACAGAAGTTTCAGAAAAACAGTGAAAGCGAAATTATTTTATCACAGTACAAAATAAGTCAAAGGGAGCAATTAAGTAAATAAATATGATGTGACCAACCTGATGAGACCAACTAGAGGAAGTTTAGCCACTGATCTCTAACTAAATAGAGGAGCATGATTGCCAAAATTGGTAATAAACATGTCAGTGCAAACACCAGAAGGTATGCATATAATTCAAAGTGAACTTTTTCACATGCAAACCATATGCTTGCAACAAGTTAACGCACCTTAGCCACAAAGCTCGGAAAGGAAGAAGACATGTGATACAATATATCCAAATAAGATATATGATTAGAAATAATTGCTCCAGGTCTTTCAGGTTCTTCAGATTGATCCTTGACGCCAGTCTGACCAATTAGAAAGAAGCAAGGGCCATGAAAATAAAAATAAACAAATAAATAAATAAACAATGATCAGCATATTGTCCCATTAGTATATAAAGACCGAAAGTTAAGAATGTATTGACTAAGACAAACACTGTAAAAGAAAATCCAACTTTAACACATGCTAAACATGTAGAGCTTAGTTAGGTACTAAAGTGTAGAGATTTTTCATCTTGATAGAGAATAATACTTATGTATATTGCAATATCAAATAGATGACAACCCAGTTATTTTTTACTGATCTCCAACATCTTCATGTCAATTACATAAGACATAGATGAATTAATTTAATTAAAGAAAAATGCCGATTATGAACTGTAATTTGTATAAAAGAGCCTCAAAAGCATATTGTCTCATCAGTGGTGGAGCAAGGAATTTACCTCCGAGGGGGCAACCATTAACAATTATTTGATAAGAAATTTTGAACCAAAATAATAAATAGCAAATGAGGGGTATTTTCTGAATTTTGATTCTTAAAAATTTGTGGGACACACTGGAGGAGAAAAGACATGAGACTTTTCTAAATTTTGAAAATCCTGTTGGGCAAATGAGTTAGAAAATGAGAGGTCTTTCTGAATTTTGGAAGTTTTTCTTGAAGGTCTTTTGTGAAATTTTTAGGAGTTCAATAAGGGAACTTTTATAATTATCAAAATTTATGTATAGAGAATACAAATAACATAAAATTTCAGTGACCCAACGTGGCTCCGCCACTGTGTGTCACCATAAAGCATGTATGATCGGGTACAATAATCAAGAAGGACAGTGTTACCATTTCATAAATCTGGATTCATAGATTTTGTGAATACGCTGGCCCTCTCTTAATTCTTAAGGTTTGCCTCTATATTCTTTATCTTCTTTCAAAGCTTCGCCTCTAGAAATTGTCCAACTATGTCTCGACTCCTTACGAAATTCAGAGAATTTGAGCAAGACACAGGTGACAGTATTCAATAGACGGACCCCATAATGTGGTAAGCAGAAAAAGGAACAGCTAGGTGAAAGTAGATGGAACCATTACCAGAAATCCAGAGCCCATCCATCTTATAATTCTATATACTATCCAAATATTTGACGCATAACCCACCTTTAGTATAAGGCTTTCAGAATTCATATTCAAATTCTATGAACTGTTTGGGAATACAAGAAGTGGTTGCAGTTGGATTTCATTTCATTTTATTATCCTGGTTGACAGGAAAACCATCAGTCAATTAGTTTTGAAAAGGACGATGATTGTTCATACTTGAACCAATCTAGAGATATGTCACTTTTACCAAACACAGGCCAACCTAAAATTAATCAGCCTATCCTCAACATGCCTTCCTAACAGCTCTGGTTCATATGGGCTAAAAACATGCACAAGAGAACTCTGTTCCATTGTAAAAAAAAATTTCACTAATATCTACCTCACTCCGACACATAATTCTCTCATAAACCTATTTATCCTTTTCAATGACTATTTCTGTCCTAAGCCAATCAAATTCTCACTGGTTACCCAACAAATTTCATTTACCCAATTCTGAATTAAGAAGCAAATCTAGGACAAACGTAGTTCCAGATATATATATATAGGTTAATTAAAATCCTAAATTTTGACCAGCAAGCAAGAGAAAGTACCTGAGTATGTTTCAATTTTCCGTCTCTGTCCGAATCTCGGTGGGTTTCTCTAATGCAATAAAACCCTAAATTGAAGAGCATAACCCTAGAAAGAAACTTCCCACACCGAACAATCACGGCCCTCCTCCACCCTCCCATGTGCGCATAGTCCTCCTGTTGTTCCTCCTCTCGATTGGGAGCAGAAAACAGAGTACAAACACGGCAAATCAAGTAGTATATCGCAATCATAGTCACCGCGACCACCACTCTGATAGGCAAGAGAGTCACGAACGCGACTCCGAGCAGGAATTTCTCCGGCCACGGCGTCTCGCCGCATCCCATCAAGCCGTACACGTCGTTACGACCGAAGGCGGCGAATTTCTCCTCGAGCTCATCCAAGTTCTCGGAAGAGACTGGTTGGGAGGTCGAGATAGGGTTGAGGAGAGGACGGTCGTCTTTGGTGGAGCCGTCGTCGAAGTCTTTGAGTTCCGACTCCATTTTCCAGTGGTTGGTAGGTCCGCCGGAGAATCTTTAAAGGTACGCCCACCGTATTGGGTAAGATTTGGAGTTACGCTTATCCATCTTAAGAACAGTGAGCTCTCGCAAACAACCAATAGATTCAACAAATGCCACAAATCAGGATTCATTTTATTTGATTCACATTTTGGCGGGTAAGATTGTCGCCGGATGAAATGGACAATACTCGGGTCCAACCCAGGTTGGATGAAGTTCATCCAACCTGGATACGTGGACCAATCAAATTTCGACACGTGACTAAAAAAATAATATTAAATTAAATTGGGCATTGACCATCAATTTTCGGGTATAACCCATTTTTTTTCTCTCATCTCTATAAATTTGCAATCCTCCCTCTCGACGAACACGAGCAGCGCCTTCTTCTTCGGATCAGCCTGAGCTGCCTCCTTTCAATTACCACCCGAAGCTGTACAAAGGACCCTTAGCCGATGAATGTGCGACAACCGACGGCAGCTGTATGTGCGACAATAGAGGAACGGAGGCCGGACCAGTTCCGGGTCCGGTGCTAGACGACGGCAAAGAATTAATGTTGAGGCCAGAGAGCGTGAAGGAGATCACGATCGAAGCTCGGAGCCTGTATTGCAATCGCCGGAGAAGAAGGCGCCGCTCGTGAAAACGCTTTAGATCTACTAGCATCAGCGCGTGACGGCGAGTGGGCGGCGAAGTTCAGTCCGGCGATGGTGGTCTGTGCTTGAAGTTCAATCCGGCGGAGATGGTGGAGATAGTGGCCTGCGAATGAGACTCTTTCTCTATTCAGATTGGGGTGGTAGATGAAGGGTATGTATGGGACTAATTTGGTCTTCGGCAAGGGTTTGGGTTTGTAATTGGGGTGGTTCTGTTTGGTGGGTGAGCAGGGTTTATGGCTTTCTATGATATCAGAAAAATACTTCTCTAAGGTGACTTAGAGATTAGATCTAAGGGAGGTGGTTGGACTTGGGGAAGGTACACTTCAAGAGTACTACTGGTTCAATTGATGTTTGCTATAGTTAAACTATTATATATCTAAATATATACACACATATTTGCGGCAAGTGGGTTTGTAATTGTTGATGGCTGGGTTTGTAATTGCTCTAATCCGAGCTCGCCGCTGTAGATTTTTGAAGAGATGAGAGAAAAAATGGGTTATACCCGGAAATTGATGGGGGCAATGGCCAATTTAATTTAATATTAGTTTTAGCCACATGTCGTAATTTTATTGGTCCACGTATCCAAGTTGAATGAACTTCGTCCAACCTGGTTGGACCCAAGTTTTGTCCGGATGAAATTGTCGAAAAAATGATACCGTACAACTGTTTTACCCGGATGGGGTTGAGGTACATTATGACGAGGTAACGCCATGAAAAATAAAAATAAAAATTACATTTTAATAAAATTAGAAGTTTTAATAACAAAACACTTTATTTTAAAAGTTTATATTACACTTTTATTGTATTAAGAGGCTGATACGCTCACAACAACAATTGCTTTTATAAACTACTTTCTTAGAAAATAGACTTAAAAAAGGAAATCAAGCTCAAGCTCACTTATAATTAGGGATGACAATATTTGAGATAAAACGCTAACACAACTCTAATAAGTGAGTTTAGATTTGACTTAATCGTGTACGTGTCGTAATCGTATCGATCCAAATTGACACAGTAATTAAATGTATCGTGTTTATATTTGACATGACAATCCGTTTATAACCTGATTAACCCGTATAAGATAAACGTATTGTTTTTGTGTTAAAAATGATACGTTTAATTAAACATGTCGTGTTCATGTTATAAATAACTAAAAATATCTTGTCTTGTCGTGTTTTGTCTTGTCAAATTTTAAACATTTATTAAACGAGTTACGCGTGTCGTGTTCGTGTCAGGGGTTTCTTGACCTGAATAATAATCGTGTCATATTCGTGTTTACCCAGATAACAGAATACTCATACTTTGACATGACACCAATACAATCGGCCAACACAAATTGTCACCCTTACTTATAACACTTATTTTCTTACTCTAGACCAATAATGTATATGTACTGAAGTTGCGTAGTGGCCAAGTGTTACAAGTGGGACTTGTACCACATTGAATTCAGATGGGAATTGAAAGATGTATAAATGTGTGGATATGCAGCACCACCCAATAGCTTAAACTTTTGGATAAATGGGCAAATATCCACCCGTTATACTAATTCATACAAATTTATTAAGGAGCCAGGTGACTAAATTATTTATCTTCAGATTTTTGCTCTATTTCTACAAGACATTCAAAATATATTTCTCGAGAAAAAAAAAAAACCAAAGTGGCACAATAATTTTCAAAAATTTCAGACGTCTCCCTTATTGGTAATGTAAGACTATTGATAATCAATGAATTAATTATTAGGATGTGTCTTATATCTTAATGTTGTGTTTGATAGGAAGGAAGGAAGGAAGAGTTGTAGAGATAAAATAGGAATGAATGAATGAACTTTCTTTGTTCGGTAAAGATGATACATGTAAGGAAAAAAAATGAGAATAGGGAGAATGGCCCATCATTCATCCTTTACAAATTTTCATCCGCCTGGGAAAAAGGAGGGAAGATAAGTGGACTATTATTGAAGTTTTAAATTAAATGACATCCTAAATTAAAGTAATAACTATGATACCCATCGATTTCGGTATAAAGGTTGATCAAGTCAGCGTACAAAATCGAGGGATATCAAACAATTAATAATAAACGAACACATAATACAAAATGATAAATAAAAAATACATAAAAGCTAAATGGAAAACTAAAATATTAATTAATTAATTAAATCCTTTAAGAATAAAATCCCAAATAATAATAATAATTTTCTCAACATAACTATCCAACTCCTCTGATAACAATACAACTCGGGAATCCATAATGTGTGGACCCCTAATTAAATCCCAACTGAAAATAAATAATAATAACAACTGTCTAAACTAAAACATAAAGTAAAATCCTACGTAGATAATCAGAAGAGTGATGATGATTGGTCTCTGCTTTGCACGAACAAGATTTACACCTACTACTGAAGATGACTTTTAAAATCAATGATGGGTTAGGCCCATAAACAAGTCATTTCTATCATATCTCACAGAGACCTAATAAACGAATACATCATAGTCAACTTATGCAATATCTATGTAGTCGGTATATACATATAGATATACACTAAAAGACTTTCACTGGATTATAGGGCAGAACACACAACCCTTTATATCCAGCTATACATCCACAAGGCAATATATGCTCCCTAACCACTGATCTTGAAATCTTAAGCTCATATCGTGGCACGTATCCATATATATATAAATCCATATCTTATCCAAAACATAAAATAAACTATCCATCATAGTCTTTCAATAACATGTCATCCGCATATAAATCAATGACCTGACACGAAAAATGAGACTAAACTTATTAGTCAGCTTATCCATAATATACCCTCATATCTTGACAATGGTGCATAAATCCAATAAATGATGCAATCATATATGTACATAAAAACGTCTCGCTCTGAATACTAACTTACATTACAAGAAAAATGAATACTTGCAAGGTGAAAAAAATCTTATATATTCCTCTTACAAGGTTAACTCAAATGCAGTAACAAGCCATGCATTAAATAATGAATTTTATTATCGCATCCAATTAAACCCTATAAATAACCATTTTCCATCCGATTAATAGGTTTTTTTTACATGTAATAACATTTTACTAGGTTTTTTACACCCTATAGAAAACAACTTTTTTAAAAAAAAATACATTTCATCCCAAGCAACAGGCATGTTGCTGCACCTATAAAAGCTTCATAATAAAACAATTATGCCCCCAAAGACAATTAATGCACACCATTTCATCGTAAAATAATTAATAAACCAAAAACATATCCACTATACAAGTCAAATCTCTATCTAATATTCAGTCATTAAACAACTCAAATTCATTTAAGTGTTACAATTGTTATGAAACAGAAGGGGAAAACAATTTGAGTCTAGCTCAGAAATTTGGTTGTGTTCTTACATCACGGTAGTGAGAAAGCTATAGAGTATAGAAAGAAAAAAAAAAAATGCCAAAGATCGATGAATTGGTGTCGAACAACACAAAAAGGACCACAGTACCACCATCTTGTTTCCATATGTTAATCACTTGGTTTACTGTACATTGCATAAATTCTTTATCACGCCCCCAAATCGTAATCCAGGTTGTGAACATAAAACTGGATAAAGAAATGCTCGTATTCAAATTTATTCAAAAATTTTAAATAAAACTTTAATGCCTATGGCTAATAATAAGAGAACCCCTTGGTTCAAAATTATTTTAAATAAAGTACCCTGTCCCAACATGCATACACAAAGTCCATTTTCCTGTCCACACATTTTCTGAAAATATAAAAGTAAGTTTAATTAAAATCCCATAATCCTTTAATTATAATAATTAAACAAAATCTGTTTGTAAGATATTCCTTAATATACATACTGGTCTCAAAATATACATTTTTCATTTATACTAAAGATGTACAACAAAATAAAATCCAACATCCGTCCATGGTTATGAAGGACCTCCCGTCCATAACCTGAAAAAAATGTATATATAATAGGAATGAACAACCACAGCTCGGCAGGAAATGCCTAAACACCACTCCTTAATACCCTCGTGAATCCAAACAAAGAATAAGAAATCAGAAGGGGAGTCAAACTAATCAGGGGAGATAACCATCACATAATCATGCTGTCTCATACACCAGTTAACACAGAATAATATGAACTGTCATATAAACAGAGTCAAAACCATTTCCCTTTTTATAAACTTCCCTATAAAGTATCACCTTTCTTGTTACAATAAACGTCAGGTCAGGGGTATGCCCATGTACCACAAAAAAAACTATCCGTTTACTTTCACCTACAACCAACTTTCCAAACATTATCCGAGCTGGTCCTAGATCCTTACCCTTTCCTTTCCTTCTTTTTCCAATAATAGGATTTACATCATTTCCTTAAGATACCACACACACAAGGAATACACATAAAACGAATGTACAAAAGAGAACAGGAAACATGACAATCTGGATAATAACACATACACGATAAGATGAAGTATTATGAAGTGCAATGCAATGCAATGCCATGCCAATGCCAATGCTAATGCCACTGACACTCCTCACCTCTCGAAAGCTCGTTTCATTACAAAAAGTTAATGCATATAATCTGCCCAGGGCTGCTTCTACCACGAGAAGAGAGTTGGTCATCTATCCCTGATACAAGGCAACTCCTTGTGATCATTTGGGGCTTAATGACACAATTACTCGTAAAGCCTCTCCCTACGTCTCCTCTAGATTCTCATTAACTGCATGGATGCAAAGTAACTCCTTGCTATACTGCTACACAGACATAAGGCAACTCCTTATTGTCCGGTTTTAAAATCATTAATTCTTTCCCACTTTCTAATATCACGGATACAAGACATCTCCCTGTTATCCGTTTTAAAATCATTTAATGAGATGTTTCCATTTTCCTATCCATTCCAAGTTGTTGGCCTAAGGATTTTATCTAAAGGTCAATCTTATGTTTTGATGATTACAAACCATTAATGATGTTTAAGTACTAATGTTTTCATTGAGTGATATATAGTTGATCAATATTCAATCCTCAATGTTGAGCTAGAAGATCCATTCCAAGCATTACAAATACTCAAGCTATGGATTCAAGGAAGCCTTAAAAGTTGCAAGAGATCAAAGGCATATTCAATCAAAGAAAAACTCGAACTTCAAAGATCATTCAAGCATTTCAAAGAAAGAAAACAAGTCTTCATCAAGCCTAAACGATCATGGTCAAGAATGAAGAAAAGGGGTAGATAAGATGGTGAGAGCTTAAGATTTAATGTCAAAGTATTTTTGAATTCATTTGAAGCTCATCTCTATAGGACCATGCATATCATACATCATATGCTCCTACATCATTAGCAATAGACTTTGAACTTCAATACACATAGATTTAACATATGAAGTCTTTGCTAAGAATGAGTTAGTTCAAGCTTACATAAGCTTTGAAAGAACTCAACTTAAGCTAGAAATGCTAGGACCATGCACATTAATCACAATACTTATTTTGGTCTCTAG